GCTGCCCCCGGCCGCGGCCTCGCCGCCTGCTCTCCCCTTATTTTATAACTTAACCCCCTCCCCAGCCGGCCCCGGTCCCCCGCCCCGCTCTTCGGTTCCCGTTACCTTTTAGTTGAGCCAAAGACGTCTCCGCGGCGGAGCCTCCCGCGCTGCCCGTCCGCCAGGGCTGCTGCCCGTGGGGCTCCGAGCGCATCCCAACGGACTGGAGCTGCACGGGGCGGGCATCGCTGCCCACCCGCCCCAGCTCCCTCTGGGTTTTGCACTGGTTCAACCGTGCGTCTTTCCCCGTCCGTTTTCCCTTCGGGATGGGCATGCCCGTCCTTGGTGGGCGGCGAGGGCGGCTCGCGCGGGCCGGGGGCTGCGCCAGCCCCTCGCCGGGCAGCGCCGGGGCGCTGAATCATTTATAAACCTTCCTCGGTGAACAGTGTTAATTATTTAAAGTGATGCTACCACAGAGGAACTGCAGGTTGGGGGGCCCAGGGCACCCACACGTGGAACTGGGGCTGCAGCGTCGGGTGCCCTGCAGGGTGCTCAGAGGGTCCCTGTGTCCCCCACATCCCCAGGCCCCCCTGTTCCCCAAGGAGCCCCAGGAAAGGGCCAGGCCATTTTGCTCCCTTTCCCCCCCACCTCTTTGAAACAAATGGGCCAAGTTGGGCGCACGCGGCCATAAAAAGCCGCGCGGCGCTAATGCGCTTTCATTAAGTGGGAGCGATCTAATGATAATAAAATGGCACATTTAACATTAAAACATTTAAGTTGACTCCTAAGCGAGCGTGTCTCTCTGTGCTGCAGCGGCTCCAGCTCTGTGCGGCTGACAAAGCTCCCACATTCGTTCTGCGGGAGCGGGGGCTCGGCGGAGCCGGCACCGGCACTGCACGGAACAGGGAATGCCGGGATGCAGGGACACGGAGAGATGGGAATGGAGGGAGGCAGCTGGGCAGGGAAGCTGAGGTGCTGTGGTATGGGAATGCAGGAATGTTGGGATGCTGTGGTGCGGGGATATGGGAATGCTGTGGTGCGGGGATATGGGAATGTGGGGTGCAGGGATGTGGAGCATGTGGGCTGCAAGGATGTGCGGATGTGGGGTGCAGGGATGCTGGGACGTGGGGCACAGGGATGTGGGGTGCAGGGATGCAGGGATGTGGGGCGCAGGGATGCCGGGATGTGGGGTGCAGGGATGTGGGGCGCAGGGATGCCGGGATGTGGGGCGCAGGGATGCCGGGATGTGGGGCACAGGGACGTGGGGCGCAGGGATGCCGGGATGTGGGGCGCAGGGATGCCGGGATGCCCAGCTCCGGGCAGGCAGTCCCCATCCCGGCGCGACGCAGGCCCCGCGGCGGCCCTGGCGCTAGAGCGCGGCGCGGAGCGCGCCCGGGAAGCGGCCGATGCGGAAGGGCTCCGTGCTGTAGGACGGCTCCTCGCCCAGGCTCAGCTCGCACAGCAGCTTCCCCACCACCGGCGCCAGCTTGAACCCGTGGCCTGTGCGCGGGAGCAGGACGGGCGCCGGGGGACACTGTAGCCCCAGTGTCCCCCGAGGTTGGGGTGCCGTGGGGCGCCCCCCGCCTACCCGAGAAGCCAGCGCCGATGACGATGTTGCTGTGCTTGGGGTGCCGGTCCAGGATGAAGTCTTCATCCGGAGTGTTCTGGGGGGAGCCTGGAGTGAGGGCCCGTGCTGCTCCCCGCCCCCCAACACGCCCCCAGGACGCCTGGGCCCTCTCCGGGCCCCAAGGGGAGGGGAGAAGGCCGGAGCCCTGGGTGCCTGGGCTCCCTCCCAGCTCCAAGCCAGGGGTAACTAGGTGCAGCAGGAGGGGGAGGGGCTGCGAGCCGGGACGCCTGGGCCCTCTCCACCTCCAGCGCAGAGGGAGAGAGGATATCAAGGTCCACGCAGGGGAGGGAGGAGGGGCGCGGCGGCCGGACGCCGGGGCCCTGCGCGGCGCCCACCGTGTAGAGGCAGCTCTCCAGCAGCGCCGGCTCGGGCTCCAGCGCGGGCAGGAAGCGGCGCACGAAGCTGCGCAGCACGGACACGTCGGGGCGGCTGTCAGGGAGGTCCCTCTGATCGGGGTCCACGGGGCTGCCGTGGTGGTAGCAGACCTGGGGGGTGCAGCTGGTTGGAGGGGGGCGGCCGGGCTCCCCAAGCGCCCCCTGCGTCGCCGCTCACCTTCACCAGCCCCGGGTACTCGCAGGAGGGCAGCCCGTAGACGTCGTGGGCCGTCCCGGCCAGCCCCACGGCAATGAAGCAGGGGAAGGGCCGCTCGGGGCTGCAGCTCCCGGGCACCTTCTCCTTCCAGTAGCAAACCTGGATGCGCAGGGGCTGCGGGAGGGGGCGGGGGGGGGTCAGGCAGCACCCCCCCCCGCACCCCCTTGTCCCCAGCCCCCCGTCACCTGCAGCGGCAGCCACAGCCCGAGCGGCTCCAGCAGCTCGCGGCTCCAGGCGCCCGCGGCCACCACGAGCCGCCGCGCGCGGTAGCGGCCGCCCGCGGTGCTCACGACGAGCGGGCAGCCCGGCTCGACGGCCAGCACCTTCTCACCGTCGCGCAGGACGCCGCCGCTGCGCAGGAACTGCTCCTATGGGTAGCAATGGGGGTAGCGGGCAGGGGGCGGCTGGGCGCGGGCCGGGGCGCGGGTCCCGCGGCGCTGCCCACCTGCACGGCCCGCAGGGCCCGCTCGNCATCTGCCCTATGAGCAAAGGCTGAGAGAGCTGGGCCTGTTCAGCCTGGAGAAGAGGAGGCTGCGGGGGGACCTGAGCAGTGTCTATAGATACCTCAAGGGAGGCAGTGAGGAGGAGGGGGTGGCCTCTTTGCAGCGGTGGCCAGCGACAGGACTAGAGGAAACGGCCACAAGCTGAGGCACCAAACGTTCCCCAGGAACTTAAGGAACGTCTTGGCAGTGAGGGTGCCAGAGCCCTGGCACAGGCTGCCCAGAGAGGCTGTGGAGTCTCCTTCTCTGGGGATCTTCAAACCCGCTTGGACGCAGCCTGTGGCCCGTGCTCCGGGTGACCCTGCGTGTGCAGGGAAGCTGGGCTGCCTGATCTCTAGAGGTCCCTTCCAACCTGAAGGGTTCTGTGAAATGCAGGCAGATGACCGATGCACAATAACAACGTATCCTACCTTCATGTTGTCAGGCGGGTCGCCCTGGCCCGTGGTCGCACACACAAACACCACCAGGAGCTCATGGATGAGGTTCGCCTGTGGGCACAGACGGACACACGCAGCTCAGGAGAGGGCAAACACAGGCCCCAGCCCAGCTGCTGGCATTAGCCACGCGCAAAGCAGAGGAGGACACAGCCCGATAACACCTGACTCTGCGGCCGCTGTGGTCGCCAAAACGTGGCCTCCTTTGGCAACGGGAAGCCTGACGTGGTGCCAGGCAGGCTGGCATGGCGCACGATCCACCCTCCCAAAGGGGGAAGAGGCTCCTTGGCCAGGAGCTGGCGGGGTCATTGAGGGGGCTTTGCAGTACAAGCCGTGGGGAAGGGGCACGTCTTCAGGGCTGCTGGCCACCAGCGTGGGACGACAAACCTGCCACTGCCGCCACCTCAACTCCAGAGCCAGGAGGGCTGCCCGGAGCGTGGGCAGGACACAGGGCGGACGCGGGAGAGCTCCCGAAGGCCGCGGAGCCGAGTGCGGCCGCCCGGCGAGGACGGGCACGAGGCAGCCGAGCCGCCCGCAGCCCCCGCGCAGCGGCGCTCACCGCGTCGTAGGCGTCCAGCGCCTGCACGCGGCACGCGAGGCGCCGCCGCCTGGCCTCCCTGCCGATCCTCTCGGCCGCGTCCTGCGCGGTGCCCGTCTGGCTGCCGAAGAGCACGAGGAGCTTCCGCGCCGCCATCTGCGGCGAGGGGGCGGCGGGCGGGCCGCGCGGCCGCGCCGCCGCCCGCCGCCACTGCTCGAAGCGCCGCTCCCCCGGCGCCCCCAGCACCAGCAGCCCCGTCTGCCTGCGCCCGCCGCTGCATCAGCGCCCGTGTCCCGTCCCGGGCACCGTCCTCACGCGCTTCCCGCTTTTCATCCCTGTCTCCATCCCTGCCCCATCCCCATCCCATTTCCCATCCCCATCTTCATCCTTGTCTCCGTCCCATCCCCACCCTCATCCCTATCCCCATCCCTGTCCTTATCCCCATTCCTGTCATCATCCCCATCTCCATCTCCCCATGACCCATTCCCATCCCCTTCCCCATGCCCATCCTCATCCCCATGACCCATTCCCATCCCCTTCCCCATTCCCATCCCCTTCCCCATGACCCATTCCCATCCCCTTCCCCATGCCCATCCCCATCCCCGTGACCCATTCCCAGACCCCTTCCCAGACCCCTTCCCCATGCCCATCCTCATCCTCGTTTTGTCCCCCTGGGGAAACCGAGGCACAGCAGCCGCACGCTCCTTCCCCCAAGATGAATAGCACCGGTCCAGGAGGCAGGAGTTATTTCCAGGCTCCCGCAGGCCTGTCCCCATCCCGGGGTCCCGTCACCTGTAGAGGCGGGTGCCGGCGCGGGCCTCGAGGCGCTGCCAGAGGCGGTAGCTCTCGGGCATCATGCGGGCGTAGTGCTGCTGCACGTGGGCGCTGCGGATGATGCGGCTCTGCCCGTGCGAGCTGCCCCGCGAGTGGGGCAGGGGGAACTGCGGGACACAGCGACTCTCTTGTTGCGACAGCCCCACAGGCGCCACAAAACCGAGGGGCCCAGGCGTCCGGGCTACCTGCTCCAGCAGGAGGGTGGCTCTGCCCCGCTCAGCGAGGTGGTAGGCGGCGAAGGAGCCCTGGATGCCTGCGCCGATGACGATGGCATCGTAGCAGGGCTCGTCCGCCGCTGCCATGATGTGTCCTTGTCCTTGTCCTTATCCCACCATTCTGGCCTAGCGCGGGGGAGGAGGGACGGGGCAGAGTCCGGCCGGGCTGCAGCGCCTCCCAGCTCGGCACGGAGTTTCTGCCTTGGCTCCGTTCCCGGACAGGGCTCAGCGTGCCGGAGGTGCCAAGCGCGGATAGAGCCCGGCGCGGAGACGGCCCTGCACCCCCAGGGCCACCCTGTGGAGAGCGGGCAGCCCGAGGGCGGGATAAATGTGATGGAAAATCATTGCCGAGAAATCCCACCTTCCCTCCGCGCCGCTCGGGCAGGACGAGGGCTGTTTGCAGCGGTGCCGCGCGCCGCCGAGCCGCCCGTGCACAGATTGGAGCTGGGCTGCTGCCTCCAAGGGAAACATTTTTTCCCTCCTCCGCAATTTATTACATCCATAAACTATTTTGTTGCCTTTTTTTTTTTTTCCCTGGGAGATAGCCATGATTTAGGGCCCCGTGGAGCCCTGCAGAGCCTGGCACTCTGCAGCACCCCTGGCTCCAGGGTAAGGAGCGCTTCCCTAGGCCAGCGCATTGTCAGGGGGCACAATGGGGCAATTCCTCCCAGTTTGAGGAAAACCAAGGCAGTGCCAGGACAGATATTGCAGCCGGTCCCGTGGGCTCCAGGTGAGGCCCGGCCCTTGGCACCTCCAGCACTTGCCCACACCGCTCAACAGCTAATCAGAGGAATTAATTTCCTCTGGTTCTCATGGTGTAAAAGACACTATTTGCCAGTTCATCATTGTTATTACAAAATGTTAAATATCATTATTTGTTTTGCCTTGTTGCTTGCCGATCTTCGGTGATTTATTAGGCGCCGGGGTGTCTTCATCCCACCCAGAAGCGAGGGAACGTCCGTGTGGTCCCGGGCCCAGAGTAGTCACCGGCTGCGAGTCCTGACCCTGTTGCATGGCATCTTCGTGCAAGGAGTGTATGGCATCTTTGAGCAAGAAGTGCATGGCATTCCCGTGCGAGGCATTCACGGCATTCTCGTGCGAGGCATTTGTGGCATCCTCGTGCAAGGAGCACACGACATCCCCGTGCAAGGCGTGCAATGCATCCCCGTGCAAGGCGTGCAATGCACCTCTGTGCAAGGCCTTGGCACAGAGGACACCAACAGCGTGGTGATGCCACAGCGGAGCTGTGTCTGTCCCCCCCGCCTCCCTCTGCCTTTGATGCTGTGAATAATTCACCCATTTCCCAGGGCCTGAGCAGCCTTTGAACAGCCCCTACCTGTTCTACTCTTCCCCGGGAGCACGAAGAATAATTAATTATCCATGAAACGCTAAATGGCAAAACGAACTGCTCTCCCACTAACCACACGCTAATAGACGGTGCTGGAAAAGCCTCCGCGGTGCAGGGAGGTGCCGGCGGCGGCCTCGGGCCGCGGCTTTTGCTGCACCGGGGACGCTGCTGCGGTCCCTGTTGCTGCTCCCCGGGGCACCGCCTGCCCCTGAGCAGCCACCCGGGGCTGGGGACGTTTTGGGGAGCCCTGGAGCAGCCGCCAGCTCTGGCCACAGCAGAGCGGAGGAGGAGGCAGCTCCCGGCCTCTCTCGCTTGCTCCTCTTGACCTGGGTTTAAATTAAGCGGAGGCGATTTCTGCAGCAGCACAAAATCCCTGGGCTAAAGCTGCCGCGGGGGTCAGGAGAGCGGCGTCCCCAGGGGCTGAGCGGGTCCATGGCTCGTGGCCAGGAGGACAGCTCCGTGCTCCAGGGTTGGGCGGCAGTGGCTCAACCCGCAGCCCAAACGAGGGGGCAAGAGCTGCCCGCGGCGCCCCGAACCCCGTGGATTAATCACCGTGGCCAGGCTGGTGACCGGCAGGGGGAAAAGACCCTCTCTGGGTGCGGATGGGTAACGTGGATGCAGCCGCATGGCATGAATGCAGCAGCCTGGGACATGATGCAGTAGGCTGAGCCCTGAGAGCAACTCATTGCACTGCTGGAAGGCCTGCGCATGGAGAGGCCTGGGGCAGGGCGAGGGAAGGCCAGCAGGGATTTACGTCCTCCCCTGGCCCTGGGGACCCCGCGAGCCCCTCGGTAGCAGCCCAGGTGCCTGCCGGGTGGGGAGCGTCACGCAGATTAAAATGATTCGAATATCCTGATACTGCAAAGTTCAATCCAGCTTCAAAACCGCACATCTCCCCAGCTCTCCCGTTGCATTAAACATTAATGGAGCTGCTGCCGGATCAAAGTCTGGGGTTTTGCACGGCGGGAGCTCTGCAGTGCGTGGGGCTCCGGTGCCGCACGGGGCTGCCCGCACCCGGGCCACCCGTGTAGGTGCCACATGAGTCAGTTCTGACCCGACGAGGTGCGGAAGAGCACGAGCAGGGGCTGAACTACAAGCAAACCACGCCAGGGCTTGCATTCGGTTGCAGGGCTGGGGAGCCAGGCTGCACGAGGAGGGGGGGTCCATGCAAAAGGATGAAGCCGCCCAGGCGTTCGGAGGGACCGTGGCGGGATATGAAACAAAGAGCCTGTTATTATTTTATCTTTTATTTTTAACACACGCAAGAAGCGGCCAGCGATGAGCGCGGAGCTGCAGTGCCGGTGCCAACGCCATCTGCCTGCTGCAAGCACCGTGTCCCCCCCGCTGCGAGCACCGTGTCCCCGCGCCCCCCGGGAGCCTCCGCATGGGCGGCAGGAGATGGGAAAGGGGGCTGGGATTGGGATGCAGCCCCCCTGTATGGAATGACACCCCCCCACACGCACACACCCCAGTGCCGAGCCCAGCCGGGAGGGCTGCCCTTGCGTCAGGTTTCCCTGGTTGGGAGACGATGAGCCCAGCCCCCACGGGGGGTATTTAGGGGTGGGGGAGGAGGGAAAGGGGGCTGCCCCCTATCCCGGGAGTGTTCTGCCTGGGTAGGTGCCCTGGAAGGGGCAGATTTGGGGGGGTGTGACGAGGGGGTGCAGGAGATGAAGGCGGGGGGAGGCTGGGGCGGGGGGGTTGTCCCTTTCCGAGCCTTTTGGTGGGCTCTGCCCCAGATCCGGGAGTTGCTGCGTTTCCAAGTGCAGGGTTGGGGCGGGGAACCACGTCCCCCTTCCCCCACCCTCGCTGCCTCGGGCTCCCAGGATTGGTGGGTGACGTGCTCGGAGCATTACGGCGGGGGGGGGCAGGCAGGGAGGGGCCCCCTCAGCCTACGGGATCCTCTCGCGCCGTTCTCGGAGCGTTACGGCGGGGGGGGGAGGGGGGCAGAGAGGGAGGAGCCCCCCCAGCCCACAGGATCCACACGCGCCGCGCTCGGAGCATTACGGCGACGTGAGGGGGGGGGCAGGCAGGGAGGAGCCCCCCCGTGCCCAGCCCGCAGGATCGCCGCGCGCCGCGCTCGGAGCGTTACGGCGGGGGCAGGCGGGGAGGAGCCCCCGGGCCGCAGATCGCCGCGCGCCGCGCTCGGAGCGTTACGGCGGGCGGCGCCGCCGGAGCTGTCCGCGGTGCTGAGCGCCGCCGCCGCCGCCGGCCATGCGGCCCCCGCTGCTGCTGCCGCTGCTCGCCGCGCTGCTCCGCGCGCCCTCCGCGCACGGTAAGGGGCAGCGACCCCCTCCGGGGGCACCCCTGCTCCCCACCGCGCCGCTTACTCCCCCTCCCCCCTTCCTCCGCATCCCCCGTTACCGCGCGGACCCGGTGCCGTCGCCAAACTTTGACAACTTGCGCTCGCCCCTGTCACCTCCCGGGGCGGCGGGGGTCGTGCCCCTCTCTTGCCCCCCCACCCCTTCTGTCCATCCGTCCGTTTTCCCCCCGCCTCGCGGCTCCCCGTGCCACCCCCGGAGCCGCTCGCAGCCCGGCTGCTGCAACGCCGCCCCCGGCGGCCCCTTTGCCGGGATTAGCGGGAATGGCGGGGAGGGGGTGGGGGGGCAGCCGCCCACGCGCGGCTGCGCCGGGAGCTGCCCCGGCCCCGCCGCAGGCTGCGCCCTGCCCCAGCACGGCTGCGGTCCCGGCTCCATGGGCGCCAGCCCAGGGAGCGGGGCTCGGAGGCGCTGGGAGCGGGGGGAGCCCTCGGGCTGCGGGGAGGGGGTTTAGGGGACGTGCGGGCGCGGAGGGTGTTGGCTCCTCTCAAGGAGAGCAGCCACCACCTGCGTCCCCTGATCGGATCGCTGGCCCTGCTGCCCATGCAGCCTGGAGGGTGGCGTTGGCCCCAAAACGTCCATGTCTCAGGTCTCAGCTGCCTCTCCAAGCAGGAATAAGGACCTGTCTAGGTTTGGGTGCCCTGGTCCTTCAGGGCTAGGAGGCCATTGGCAGCAGCTGGGATGTGTGGGGCAGGGACAAGGCTGTGGGGCTGGCCCTGCTCTCCCCAGTTGAGCTGCGGGGCTGGTGGGGCTGCTGCACAGCTCGGAGCAGAGCTGCAGGGAGCAGCCGTGCAGGGAGTTACATAAACTCCCCATCTGGCTGCGGAGCCGAGGCGAGGAAGGATGCGGTGGCCCTGTGCCCACTGCTATTCCCGTCTCTCTGCCAGTGGGGACTGCTGGCAGAGCCCTGTTACTGGGGGGAATGTGTGGGGAATGAGGGGGATTTGTCTGTTGAAGTGGGGCAAGACCAGTGGGGCACCCACCTCCTGCCCTGTTGGATGGCAGAGGGACCAGTCCCCGGTCCCCCCGATCCCCGGCTCTGCTGGGTCCTGGGAGCAGGGTGCCAGGCAGGGCAGGCTCCTCGGGAGGGAGGGAGGCTGCTGCTTGCTGTGTCAGTTTAATGATTTCTAATGAGCAATTACCTCCAGTCAGGCTCCTAATTTCTGAATATCAATAAAGTTAATTAAACGCTGCATGTGCATTTCCCAGAGCGTGGCAGGTAGGGATGCCCTGGGAAGGGCTGGGCTCTCCCATGGGCTGCAGCCGTGGGGCACTATGTTCCCTGTCCCCTGCCATGCTGTGGGGTGCTGGGCCCGCATGTGCAACCTCTTCATCCCCAGCCATCAGTGATCCTCCTGCAGGGCTGTGGGGCTCCATGTCGTGGTGGTTTTGAGCTGGCATCACGGATAGGCACATGCTGCCCTTAGGCTGGCATATGGAGGGGATATGCCCTGCGTCTCGGGAACGTGGGGGTGTCAGATCCCTCTCTGAGGACACGGACAGTGGGAAGTTCCTCATTTTTGCAGGGGCAATGCAGGGCCTGATCCTGCCCCCGTCACTGCAGGTCCTGCCTATGCAGTGACGTGTGGACCCAGCGCAGCCTGGGGCAGCTCTGGCTGTTCCTGGTGACAAACCTGGGGGGGATGCGGTGTCACCCTGGGCTCTGCACGGAGCCATTGTGCCCCTTGCACACGGCAACAGGGCCAGCGAAGGAAGGGAGCATCCGCTTCAGTAATTAAGCGAGTGTGCAGCGGTGCCCCGCGCGCCTTGGAGGAGCCCACGGCCGAGACGCTGCCAGGCTGGGATTATCTGGATAATGCTCCTAAGCTGGAGGGCGGGTGGCCGGGGGGGGAGCCTGGCGGGCAGGGCCGGGCGCACGGGGCTCCCTTGGGAATATCCGCTGCGGGATGGGGCTGCGGATTAGCGGCAGGGAGGGAGCATTGGGCACCGGGCTGCAGGGCATGGGGCTTGACGCGGGCAGAGCCGGAGCAGCGGGATGGCGAGGGGAGCTGGGCGGCGTGTGCGCCGTGAAGGGTGCAGCAAGGGCAGCCGGTGCTGGTGCCCTCGCAGGGGACAGACCCTGTGTTGTTGGGGAACCCCCCCAAGCGCAGCGCTCACCAGGGCCCTGCGTGGCCTGGGGGATGTGGAAGCGCAGCCGGCAGAGCGGGATGGAGCCGCATCTCCAGCGGATCTGGCGGGAGAGGATAATTTAGCCTCCAATCAATTCTTTAAATGCGCACAATTGAAAGATTGCCTCTGAAAGCTGCCTGGGAGCGGGGAGGTAATGGATGCTCTCCAGCACCAGCAGCCGCGCGGGAGCTCCCAGGTGGCGGCTTCGCGGCAGCCCCTTGGGGCAGCGTTTCACCCGCTGTCCCCAGTGCCACCGCTGATGCTGAGAGGGGCACCCGCGTCCCCTCTGGAGGCACCTGGTGCTGCTCTTTGGCTGCCCACCCGGGCTGAGGCCTGGCCGCGCTCGTGACACCGGGCGGGCAGGGCGGCCGTGGTCCCTGCTCACCTGCACCAGGGGATGTTTCCCATTGCCTGCCCATGGGAGAGACGGTGGGAGGCAGCCGGCGCGCTCGCCATGCCAGTGGCTGCTATTCCATATATATAATTTAAATGCTGTAATGAGCTGTGCTGGAGGGATCAAATATTAATCAGCCGCGAGAGCGCTGCCGTGACCCTGGGAAAAGGGAGAGAGGTGCTTGAAATGCTGGATTAGCCAGTGCGGGGCTGTCCTCCGGAGCCGTTCCAAGCAGGGGGTCCTGCTTTGGCTGCCCCCGTCTGCCCGGTGCCCAGGGAGGGGGGCAGCTTGCAGACCAAGGCGGGTGGCTCTCATGCCAGGTTTGGGGGCAGTTTTGCAGCGTGTTGCATTGCTTGTTGCAAACCCCTCTGCCCGCCGGCATGCGGGCACGGGAATGCGGCACCGGAGCCGGGATGCAGCATGGGGATGTTGACAGCATTCCCGGGGCTCGGGAGCAGGGCTCGGCTGCGGGGAAGCCGCCATGGCCGAGCAGCCGCGCGCGGAGCCGAGCGAGCAGCTCTCGGGCGCTTAATGCAGCTGGGTTTCAATTAGTGTCACCGGCGGGAGGAGGAGAGTGGGGAGCCCGAGCAGGGGGACACGGTGATGCTGCAAGCGCAGTAGCCCTGGGGACCTGCCCCAGTGGCCAGCACAGCCCTGGGGCACCCGCTGCATCCAGCCCTGCTGCTGGGCACCCAGGGGTGCTCCAGCCCTGCAGGCTGCAGGAGGTGTTTGCATGGAGGGGCTCGCTCCTCTCTTCTCCGCTGGCTTTTGTTCCCTGGCACTGTGGGCACCACAGGGCAGCGGGAGGCTGGTGCTGCCCCATGGTGGTGGGCACCTCGTGCAGGGCCCATCCCCGCGGCGTTGGGCCGGGTCGTTCCAGACACAGGGGGAAATGCCACCGCCAGGCTGGCTGGCTCCGTAGGGGCACGTGGAGTTTGGCTCTTGGGGATGAAATAGCCGCCGCCAGGCAATTCCTCATGCCGCTGCTCCTGGAAATCACCGTGCAAATGCATTAGCTCCGCAGGGAGAGCTGGGGCACCAGGGCGAGGGGGGCCGGCACAGCGGGCACCGGGCCAGGGCTCCCCAGCGACCCCCCCCCCACCCAAGGGCGAATATCCTGGGTGCCCTGTGGCTGCCTCTGCCCCGCGCACCCAGCTGGGTTGGGGACAGCCACCCCTGGCAGCCGGCAGGGCTCCGCTGCGGCGCCCATCTCCCCCCGGGCACGTTTGGGATGCGAAGCCGGCTGCCTGCTCCTCCTCGGCGCCCGGGGGAACCTATTGCGGCGACATGTGACATGTGTCAGCGGGTAAACGACTGTTCAATTCAAGGAGAATCGCAAAACACACAAGGTCAAACGCTTCCCCGCGAGCGCTGCCGTGAATATTAACGCGGGCATCCCACCCGGCGCGGGCCCCGCTGTGCCGCCCGCTGCGCGCGCCCGGCCATCCCGCGCCCAAGGGGCACGCGCCCGGCACGGGCACCCACGCTGCGGCGGCAGTCACAGCACACGGCCGGGTTTGGGGACCACGGGGCTCCCCATTGCCTGCGCTGTGGTTTCGGGTACTGTTGGGGTGCCCAGTTTGCCCTGGCCGTGCTGGGCACTTGTCCCAACAGCCCTGGGGTTGTTGGTTAAAGGGGGTGAGGAACACTGGCACATACAGAGCATGGGCGGCAGCTGCCCCGAGCCCTGACTGCGCCCGCCCGCTGCTGGCACCCATCTGCCCACTCATTTTTGGCACCCACATATTGCTTGCACCCACCCACCCACGTGCTGCCTCTCGCTGCCTTCACCCGCACCCATGCACCTGAGCTTGCCTGCACACATCCATCCATCCATCCATCCATCCGTCCCCTCGCCTGCACCCTGCACTGCCTGCACACATCCATCCATCCATCCATCCATCCATCCATCCATCCATCCATCCCCTCGCCTGCACCCTGCACTGCCTGCACCC